TGGAAGAGGTCCTTGGAGGTCCAAAGAATCCCCTCATGCTAGAAACTTAACTGTTCGAACCACACGGTGGAGTAGAGGGAGGCACAAAAAAAAAGTGGTCATGGTGCCCCACCCTCCCTTAAGTTCTGAGATGAATAATATCCTCTGAAAAAAAAATTTTGAGCACAATACTCGTTCTCTTTACTATACCACTTTTCATTTGTGTGTAAAGAACGAGTAAAAAAGAAGAACAAGAAGGAAAGACATCAACGAATTGATATCACATGGGAGGGACTCGTTCTTTACAAAGCTAGATTGATGGGTCAGTCGCTGATCGTTACATGAATTGTCCTCTGACGATTTGTAATTTTGCCTTTTAACGAACGCTTCCGGTTGGTTCTCTTCTCAGGCAGGGAACATCGATGCATCGCGATATCTCGAGATATCGATTCTCGTGCATAATCGAATTTACACTAGAGTCCGTGAGTCCGTGCCAAAAACCTGCTTTTTCCGTGACCAAATCCCTCAGAAGGACATATTTATTTTAGAAAACAGTCAAATGAAACTTATTATTTCATCTCTCATCTCGAACATAAGACGTGCAACACCATCAAAAAGAAATTCATTAAGATGACACAGCTTGCAGTTCTGAGACATGTATCATGGTTAGGGTCAAACAATGTTTCGTTATTACCAAATTTCTCAAAATTATCCATTGTCACTTGCAAAAAACCCTCCTAGATTTTTGTTGACCAAAGATCTCGTGTCATTGTTGTTGTACTTTGCGTTTCAGTGGCGTTCAACATCAAAAGATACAGACACGTGAAAAGAGGCTAGTTTCACATAGTGCACTAAAAACGTCTCTCTTTCATGTTCATTTTCTCAATATTTCTCATTGCAAGTAAAAAGAAAACTTCATTTACGATCAAGCGACTGACACTCCATCTTTCATTAGATACCACTCTCATTTTCCCACATGCTGTGAGATCTGAGATGAAAGATGTCCCCCCAAAACTCATTTTTGAACACAATACTCGTTCTCTTCACATAGAGTTAGGTTAGGTTAGGTCTATTGACAACAAATAATTAAGGTAGGGTAGGGTGAAAGCGCAGTGATAAAAACGGCAACAGATCAAAATAGTCACCATAATTAATAAGCATTTCCACCATGTGAGAGAGTTCAGATGCAGGCTCTCCCACGTCCTTAAGAACAACTGCAAGGTCAGGGCGCCCCTTTTCGATAAGGGTTCGTAACATCCTTCTAAAGAACACCCACGGGCGTCGAGCTGGTGAACCCCTTATTGTGGTTTGATGCCAGTGGCCAGATGGAAACCTCTGTCAAAAAGTAATTTTTGTTAGTTTCACAAGTATAAAAGTAAATAATAATAGATAGGGCTACTGACCTTAGCAAATCTCATCATTTCATTGAGGATGGGGTCCAATCTAATCTGGTCTGGGACCCAAGAGGGGAAAAGTTGTGTTATTTTAATTAAGAACTTAGTGAAGCACCTCCTAAATTCTGAGGTCCAGTTCCCTTCCGATGCAGAGTAAAGAAGTTCCAAAGCAACACTGAGGCGAAAGCACACAAAAGAAAAAAACATTGTTAGAAAGGTTTCATAAAATGAAGACTTACACGAGTGAATGATTCTCACCAAGTCACCAGAGTTTGGTCAGCTTTTTCGACGATGAGTGACAAAGTTTCTATTACAGGCGAGTTTGTGTTTACATGCCAGTCTATGTCTTTGGCCAACACTGATAAAATGCCAATGAGCACTGCCCTGATGTCTTCCATCGACGCCTGTTTTGACATCATTGGCTGGCTGTAAAAAGAACTAAGTTTCTTGCACACCACCTCAAGCTGTTCCTTGGAATGTTTCGTGCTGCACAAGGTAGGTTTACGCCAGACCGCGTCTTGTAACAGGCTTTGCGATGTCTCGCGGCCTGTTACTCCAATCCGCGCCTGGGGACCTTCTTCTTCCTTGTTGCATGCTGGAACCCCCAGACCCCCCTTAATTCTAGAGTTGCTTCTACAGATAACACGATCTTGACCCTTGAAACTTTTTAACTTGTTGGGGCTGGGGGGCTCTGCCCTCCAGACCCCCCTTTCTTTAAGACAGAAGTGATCTGCCTGCAGAAAACTTGATTTTTCGCCGTTTTTTTAGGTGTTTTTCGGCTGTAAAAACTGAACCAGTTGAGCTAGGATAGTGACATTTCGCGTGTGCCGAGCCAAGAACATACCTAATAAGCCTGCAAAATCTCAGCCAGATCGGCCGAGCCGATCAGGAGGAGTAGTGTACACACACACACACACATACAGACAGACAGAAAAAGGATTTCAACCCCACTGGAGTAACAGGCTTCGCTATCGCTCAGCCAATAAACCAATGGTGTGCAATTGGGCAATGCACCGAGACATCACAGCGAGGGGGTAATCACTCGCTATTTTCGTGTACAGAGAATATGAATATGTGTGAATATCCGTGAATACCAAGAATACTGTTGAATACACATATACTAGTGAATATGAGGTAATACTGGTGAATATGTGTGAATATCATGAATATCTAATGAATATCATGAAATTTGCAATTAAAACGCTTAAATATTGTGAGAAGAAATTTCTGGGACCCCCCCCCCCTAGGGTGGCCCAAAAAAAATCGAAGGTTTTCCGATTGTCCAATTCCGCTCAAAAATCGATTCTAGACCGAAAAAAAATAACCCCTCTTTTTTGCGTTTTGCCATGAGACGATTTTGAATACTGGCTCAATAGCGAAAATGGTTTTTAACCCGTTTTAAGCACCAAAATTGTCATAACAATTACAGTTTTTATCGGATTTTCAAAAACGATACGGCAAAATGTTCGGTTTTAGACGGCGAACAAATTACATTTTCACCCATTTTTTGTCAGACTTCGTCTTCAGTATTCTGCTTGTGATTTTCGCTCAAAAAACACATATTGTTCACTATTTGGAGATAATTTCCTTGTTTCGGACGGCTAAGATGCGTCCCTATCCACTTTTTTATCTTACCCTATCCCAAAACAAACCGACCACGTGAATTAAAGCCGTGCAAATCAATTTGCATACCATCTAGGGGCAAGCATTTCGTTGTTTTTAGTGTAAAGAAAAGTCTGTTAAGCTCTGAGGCCGCAATTTTCCTCCGATTCTCAAACCCGAGATGTCATTTTGTTTAGTTTTTTAAGACAAACAAAAAAGATTCTGGTCATTTTTTTGTCAGACAGCGTTTTTAGATCCGTTTCTGCTTGAAACGTGCAAAAATCGCCCAAATTCGAATTTTTCGCCCACTTTTAGACCGTTTTTCTCGTCAGCGATCCACGTGACCAGCCAATGATCACTCTTTTACCTTCCCTAGCCTTTCTAGAATGGCTGGAATAAGAAGAGCCAGGTCCTAGACACGAACGAACAGGTCCAGGCATGATTTGGCGGGTCGTTTAGAATTTTCCTTCTTTAAAAAAGGATAAATAAGGCCAGCCCGGACGGTTTTGGGCTCGTGTGAATAGTTCAGTAAAAGTGGGAGTGTTGCAACCGATTTTGTCTAGTTCTGACCGGTATGGAGAAGTTGTGACAGGTTTGGACAAAAGAAAACGGTCCAAAAGTGGGCAAAAAATTCGAATTTGGGCGATTTTTGCACGTTACAAGCAAAAAACCCGCCAAATCATGCCTGGACCTGTTAGTTCGTGTCTAGGACCTGGCTCTTCTTAATTCCAGCCATTCCAGAAAGGCTAGGGAAGGTAAAAGAGTGATCATTGGCTGGTCACGTGGATCGCTGACGAGAAAAACGGTCCAAAAGAGGGCAAAAAATTCGAATTTGGGCGATTTTTGCACGTTGTAAGCAGAGACGGACCTTAAACCGCAGTCTGACAAAAAAATGACTAGAATCTTTTTTGTTCGTCTTAAAAAACTAAACAAAATGACTTCTCGAGTTTGAGAATCGGAGGAAAATTGCGGCCTCAGAGCTCAACAGACTTTTCTTTAAACTGAAAGCAACGCAATGCTTGCCCCTAGATGGTAGGCAAATTGATTTGCACGGCTATATTTCACGTGGTCGGTTTGTTTTGGGATAGGGTAAGATAAGAAAGTGGATAGGGACGCAACTCGGCCGTCCGAAACAAGAAAATTATCTCCAAATAGTAAACAATATGTGTTTTTTTGGGGCGAAAATCGCAAGTAGAATACTGAAGACGAAGTCTGACAAAAAATGGGTGAAAATGTAATTTGTTCGCCGTCCAAAACCGAACATTTTGCCGTATCGTTTTTGAAAATCCGATAAAAACTGTAATTGTTATGACAATTTTGGTGCTTTAAACGGGTTAAAAACAATTTTCGCTATTGAGCCGGTATTCAAAATCGTCTCAGGACAAAACGCAAAAAAGAGGGGTTATTTTTTTTCGGTCTAGAATCGATTTTTGAGCGGAATTGGACAATCGGAAAACCTTCGATTTTTTTTGGGCCACCCTAACCACCACCCTTACCCAACCAACCACAGGTGGGGCTGCAACATCTATGAGTTACAGATAGCCTCGAAATCACCCTTTGATTCAAATGTTGGCATCAGCCGTCTCAGAAGTCAACATGGTTGTTTTGTAGGAGGGGAGATGGCCGCCAGCGGGCATGACCTGAAGGCCAGGGGGCTGGCTGGTCGGTAGCGGGCATCGGAGGGAAAAGCCGGGGTTATGCGGGAAAAAAGAGAAATGTCCTCTAGCGGGCAGCTGGTGGTGAGGCCTACTTCTTAGGTGGTACGCCAACGAAATGAGCTTGATACAAAAAGTATTTTATTTTAAAAGCATACATAGTCTTAAAAGTGGCATACGCAATGTTAATGCGTCGTCAGTTATCTGCTTACTCTTCTGCACACATCCTCTTTCTTCTTCCTTACTTCTCCAACCTCAACCGACCTCATGTTTGTGATTGCACCTCCAGGAGCACCTGCACACTGGCATAGACTGGGATGGGCGCTGACAAACTGTTCGTTGAAATCGGAGTGAAAAGACTCTGTTCCACATGTCGTCGCCGGATTGCCGATTCCTTCGAAGCCTTTCATCATCTCCTGTTTCTCCTGTTCCTTCTTTTGAGTCTCTGCCTCCATTTTCTTTGCTCTTCCTCCTCAACCTTCTGTCTCTTTCTCTTCTCATCCTCTTCTCTTTTTCTCTTCCTCTCCACATTCTTCAACACCTCCAGCTCCTCCTTCATTTCTTCTCTCTCCTTCCTATCTCGCTCTCTCTGTCTCTCTCCAATCTTTAACCACGCATGCTTCGGTGCAGAGGCGGAATTGAGGAAGCATCTCGCAAGTCACTCCAAGACGGCACCGCACTCGTGCGAGGTTTGCGGAAAGAAGTTCCGTGACTCTTCGAATTTCAGGAAGCACAAGAGAATCCACACCGGGGAGAATCCTTACGAGTGCGGAAAGAAGGTCACTCAATCAGGTGGCCTCACCAGGCACAAGATGCTGCACACTGCACACCGGAGAGAAGCCCCACGAATGTAACGAGTGCGGAAAGAAGTTCACTACATTAGATAACCTTAGGAAGCACAAGAGAGTCCATACCGGGGAGAAGCCTTACGAGTGTGACGAGTGCGGAAAGAAGTTCACTAAAGTAGTAAACCTGAAAGTGCACAAGAGAATCCACATCGGGGAGAAGCCCTACGAATGTGACGAGTGCGGAAAGAAGTTCACTGATTTAAGTAACCTAAAGGTGCACAAGAGAATCCACACCGGGGAGAAGCCTTACGAGTGTGACGAGTGCGGAAAGAAGTTCACTCAATCAGGTGGCCTCACCAGGCACAAGATGCTGCACACTGCACACCGGAGGGAAGCCCCACGAATGTAACGAGTGCGGAAAGATGTTTACTACATTAGATAACCTTAGAAAGCACAAGAGAGTCCACACCGGGGAGAAGCCTTACGAGTGTGACGAGTGCGGAAAGAAGTTCACTAAATTAGTAAACCTGAAGACGCACAAGAGAATCCACACCGGGGAGAAGCCCTACGAATGTGACGAGTGCGGAAAGAAGTTAAATCAATCAGGTATCCTTATCAGGAACAAGATGCTGCACACCAGAGAGAAGCTCCATGAATGTTACGAGTGCGGAAAGAAGTTCACTAAATTGGTAAACCTGAAGGTGCACAAGAGCGCATGATGCAATGCAGCCTCGCAATTGCAGTACTCCTCTTGGTTTTGATTTTGCTGGTGACGGACAGCCTGGCCCGGCCTTACCCGTCTACCTTGGTTTGAAGCGAGGGGTCCACCACTCAGAGAATCATGTGTACATCGTGTCCGGGAATCATCCGGAAATCGTCCGGGAATCATGGGAATCGCGGGAATCACTTCCGAATCACGGGAATCTCGCGGGAATCGCAGGAATCATCCGAAAATCATAGGAATCGCATAGAAATCTCTTCGGAATCATGAGGAATCTCTTGCAAATCATGGACATCTTGGAAATTATAGGAATAGGAATCAAGAAAGTGTCGTGAAAATCGTGTGAAAAACCGCCCACATTGCGAGAAAAAACTACAGGGAATCCTGTTAATATTTTCACGCGACTGAACCGAATTCGGACTTGAGTAAGCTCTGCGGTCCAACTTGGTTAGGTCTGTGGCTTTGGTTAGAATCCACCCAGCCTTTGGGTCTAAAACTGGGTGGGGCTTCTGTTTTGTACGCCACAAAGTGAAATCAAGTCGAGCTGCGATAAGAACAAAACTAAGGGGAAAAGACGACCTTGTCCTCGAAAACATGTTTTGTGGCACCATGTTAAAAGGGCGTTTCAAGAGCACTGTTAAAAAAAAAGTCTGAAAATTCAGACTAAATTGGTCAGAAGTTATTAACAGACTTGAGAGGTCTGAAAATTGAGACCGTTTAGATGGTCTGAAAATTCAGAACTGGAGAGTCTTACATTTAAGAGTTTGGTGGTCTGAAAATTCAGTCCTGTATGATATTTGTTAACTGAAAGGTTCGTGACATGATAAATATGACATAGGCAGAATCTCAGGTGTGTGTGAACCTCCAGAGAGGACAACATAGAGTAAAAATTGTGTTGAGGGAGAAGATCCTCTGGACTTTTCCCTGCCTCTCGGGAGGCCGGCCTGTGGCACCCAAGGTAATGGCGACACGGAGGCACCCGCGAGAGGTAAATTAAAATGTGGATTGTTCAACTCCCACCCATATTACGGAGATAAATCTTGCAGCAGAAAATGGTTCTCATATGGCCGATGAAGTCTCGTCAATTTGGAACTTTTCAACTAATATATTTTTCACGTTAGAAGCCTTTAAAACAGAAGTAGGTATGTTCCACAACATGCGCGCCATCTTGCGGACAAACGAAATCTTGGGTTGGTCTGAATTTTCAGACTTAATCATCTCAATTTTCAGACTGCGCTGGTCTGAATTCAAGTTCTGAGACGATCAGGTCGCAATTTTCCTACCGGAAGGCTAAATTTTCAGACAAGCAGTCTGAAACAAGTCTGAAAAATAGATTCAGACCACCAAGTCTGACAAAAGTGGTCTGAATTTTCAGATTTTTTCTAACAGTGATATGCTGACCAAAAGGAGATAGTTGAGAAAAAAAAATTTCTGGACCCAAAACCACCGAAGCTCAGTGGTAAAATTGCCCAAAACTTTAACTGTTCACAGTTCCTCCAATAATTGCCTGAGATGGCTGAAATTTTGCGGTGGTGTTCACCCATGGGCAGGCACCATTTATGCCAAATAGGAGCGAAATCACCGATGGTCTACTTCACACGGCCCTCATATGCTCAAATCTTCAGTAAACTGGGCACCTTAGCCTAAGTGTCTCCTTACCGCGAAGGTGACGCCGTGCACCCACACGTTCTTCACGTTGTCGAAGGCCAGCGCGTCGCCTGCCCAGACGACTTTCGGGTTTATGTCTGTGATGCTGATGTCACGAATGATGACGTTCTGAGCGTTCTTGATGCGAAGTCCTTTGCCCTTGATGACGCCTTTGCCGTTCTTGCCCAAGATGGACTTGTTAGAGCCCACGATGATCTCTGTGGTGCCGGCCTTCGCGTACTTGACCTGCAGGGATAAATAGAGGCAGAAGGGTGAACACACAGTGGGTTGCAGAATTTAACATCACTCAAACATTGTATATATCAATCCGTTTGAAGGTTGTGTTTCGTAACACGTGAGGATGTTCAACTCAAGGGCCCTGGCCAAACGATCACACCCTACCGTTTGCAATATAAGGATGTTATCTGATCGTTTTAGAAAGAATCTGATATCAACCACGAGCGAGTTACACCAAGTTTGAACATTTGATACGAATAGCAACGGAAACGATAAGGTCCCTCGATAAGTAACTCTTTGCTCGGAAAGTCGGCGTAAGATTGGAACCATTTATCAGCAATACTAGAAGAAACGGCGCTTTAAAATAATGTAGTCGCCTCGGGGGAAGAACTTTCAAAAAAGTCTCATATGCGATAAACTTGAGTATTGCCGTAAAAGTCTTGCCTTCAAAACGGCGACACACAAAGGTTTCACCAAAATTTGGCGATACTTTGGAGTATTGCCACGATTTGGCAATAAACCTTGAAGAAATCAATGGGACAAAGTTCTTAGTTTAATGCCAGATTTTGGCGATGCCATTCTTTGGCGATACTTTTGTGTATCGCCGTTTAGAAGGCAAGATTTTTCGGTTCGCATTTCGACGCCTCCTAATATAAAATCCTACTGTCAGTGCTGATCCAAGACAATCCCAACTGCTCCAAGGTTCCAGTGGAGGCTAAAACTGCTCATTAGCTGTCTTCAGTCCAAAGCACACTGTTAAAAAAATTTCATAACATTTTCATTACATGGTAGTGAAGCTATAATCATTACAATGTAATTAAAGTTTTCATTACACATATGTAATTAAAATTTTCATTACGGTGTAATGAACGAATGTAATGAAAATTTTAATGACGAAAACGTAATGAAAATGATCAAAGTTGACGCAAATTGCGCAACTTTTCGTGTCGATTTGACATAGGTTGGAGTGAATCCACAGCATCTCTGACAGCAGAGAGGAGGTAAAAATTGAGAGACCGAGGACTGTTCAGATCTGAGGCAGTCTGGTAGCCTGAGTGAGAGAGATCGGGTGCTGACCCTACCAAATGGCAGCCCGTAGACGCCTTCGAGCAACATCAGACAAACCTATTTGGTCACTTCGAATATCGCTCTATTCCCCCAAACTCTTCGCCATTAGTTTAACAATCCATCACTTCACATGAACCACGGATACAATTCAGAATATCTTCTCACGTTTTAATATTTTAATACGAAATACAGAGTTGAGAGTGATCCCCGTGTACCATGCGACACCTAGCGGCAGACTTGCGAATGACAGGTTTGGCATATGACGCCGTAATGGACGACTGTAGGAGAAAAATTGATGTTGGCGGCCAATAGAAGGCTAAATTAGTTTGAGTAAGCTTTACTTAGATCCTCGACAAATCCAAAAACTTTCAGTCATGCTTAAATATGTTTGAAAAATTTAATGACATGTAAAGAAAATTTCATGACAAGGTGCATAATGTAATGAAACTTTCATTACATGCCTAAGGTCATTAAACTTTATGACCGAGGTAATGAAATTTTCATTACAATATAATGAATGTGGAGATGTAATTAAAAATAATGACGTTTAATGAAAAATAATGTCACAAATGTCATTAAATTTCATTCATTTTTAACAGTGCACTGCAGTGAATCATGATATCACTGAAATACAGCTTCCACGATTATATGCAAGGTTTCTACTTTATAACAAGTCCAATGGCGAGAAATTTGAAGCAGCATGTTGGCGTCACAGAATTTTATAAGAAACAGCTTTTTACGTCTTACAATCTGCGCAGACAGTTAGGGTTGTCTTGGATCTGCACTGACAGTTAGAATCGTTCTATAAGGATGCGTCGATTTGCAGTGTGCGCGGAATCACTAATCCGATAGTTGTAGACTTGCCTTGGTTAGTGGCCTGCCATTGCAGGTACCGGCGTGGGCCAACGACTCCTGGTATCCACCGCCACACTTCAATATGACGCACCCGGAACTAGTCGCCCAGCCCTCGGAGTTGGTGAAGTCATAAGTTCTGTCCAGGACGATGATCAGTTTTCCTTGCTTCCCAAGTAGTTCTTGAGCTCCCGGATGTTCTGGGAGTTACGGTCCTGCCTGCAGCAAAAGATGGTCTGGTTGACCTCACAGACCCCTAATCAAAGTGTCGACTAAGTACGGTGGGGACCGCTCCTTTACGCCAACCGAAAAACGCACCTTAATATTTATATAAATTAAAGTGTGGTTTTTAAATTTTGGCCTTTCCCCACGCTGCAAAGAAAGTTTGAAGATCAACTTACACAGAGATTTTTTTTCTTCAAGATGTCAGAAAATGATTACCAAAATGAAAAGAACTCCCGGGGGGAAGTTGCATGCAGTAAAATTGTATGTTTTGTTAGCTTCTGTTGCCCTGCACTACTTTAGACAGAAAAAATACGATTTCAAGAAATCCTCGGAGTCATGAAGTCAATTTGATTGTTGTGTAAGAGTGTGGAGAAAGAAAAGAAGTGGTGTTGTGAAGTTGTGGCTCAGGGGACTACCAATGGCAGTGGTACCAATTCGGTCGATGTGCCACCCGTCAAAATTTAAACTTGACAATAAATAGAAACCAAAATGCTGGTAAATTCAAAAAATTCCAATGCTAATGTATTCCGCAGTGTTCTAACAATGGAACATCTTTAAAGTCCATCATTATTAAAATGTTCTTGGCAGAAAGAAGGCAGTAAATTAATTTTCACGGGTTGGCAACTAGTTTCTCGGCGTCTGCGCCCTTACAAAAATCACGAAGCTGAAAACACCAGCAGTCGCGCATGAAAACTGCCCCTCCATTGTTGCTGACGTTGAATTGTTTGGCTTGTTTCATAAAGGCTATGGTTCTCTAGTCATGTTTTCTTCAATTCTGTGTAATAGTTCTCACTCACAACGTATCAACACCAGGACGGTTGGTTTGACAAACTTTTATAAACTCGGGAGGAATGGTTTCGGAGCGCGGGTGAGTCTTGTTCGAAGAACATGAGCCCTGAAAGTCGCGAGGTGAAGTTAAGTTGTCATGGTGTTAACTGAATTCAACAAAAACAAAATTGTTTTATTTACTGAAATAACAGGAAAAGTAGCGATATACATCGGCAACTTTGGCCCGTCCCGGACATTAAGAAACGTACGAAATTCGCCTATATTTGACCCTGACGGGATTTAAACCTGAGTCTGGGGTTAAAATTAATGTCGTTTTCGTCATCAGCACCCTTAAAAACGTCAGAAACAATGCAAAAACTCGAATAAAAAGAATGTTCAAAAAATATCCCCCTGGGACTTGAACCCGGGTGCGAACTTCTCCGATTCGCTCGAAACTGGCACCATTGGGTGATTCCGCGCGTAGAGGGCGTTTTCGTGTCCACACCCTCCCCAGGGCAAATTTATTCGAGTGCAGCCCATTTATGCACTTAAGAATCTTTTTTTGGGACCAGACTAGCTTGTTCCCTTTGTATATGGACTTTCGAAGCCAACATGTGACGCGGGAGGGGGGCCAAAAGGGTCGATTTTGTAAGTTCCGTCATGTCCATTCGCACCTTGCACCAACTTTGCGGCTCTGTAACCATTTGTTCCATTCTAATCTTCGAATTTCACACACACCCATCAAATCTCTAACGTGTAGTGACTATCTTGCTTGAATTTTAAGATCGTATATTGATTGGAAGTGTCCTTTCAGAACGCGTACAAAATGTCCACCGTACTCCGACTTTTGACTTAGTAGTTTCAAAGTTACCACCATAAAAACTACTAGGAGTGCTCCCTGCTGAAAACCACCGCCGTATTTAGAATCAGCACGGTCTGTTTACCCTATGAACGAATCCCGGTGGCGAAAAAGTAAGGGGGCTGTGTGTGCGAGTGGAAGTTGTGTGTGAAAACGGTGGGTTGTAACAATTGATGTAATTTCCGTATGCCCCTCTCACCCCTCTCCTATTGGGTTAAGAAAGTCATCCTACACGTGAAAGGGCGTGTCTTGACGTCGGACTAGTGTGCCAAACTTAAAGCATATTTCTGAGGCGATGGGCATTTGTAGTGAGCTAGAAACATCTGTTTGTAATTTCCGTCGAGCGTAATTTCCGTCATATTTTCAGTAAATTTCGTCATATTTTATAGGGGGAGAAAACGAAAGTCAACTTGTAGCTCGCCCACGCTCACAGTGTCGTCCTGGTGTCCTATTGACGCCATCTAGGCAAAATTCAGGCCGAACAAGCAAGATTGATTATGTGACTTCCTAAGGTGGCTAAAACGGCCCATACGTACACTCTAAAAAAAATCAATCCAAAATTCTGTAACATGGTTACGCAGCTTTTTCAATAACACCTGTTACAAAATTTTGTATCGAATATGTTACAATTTATTTTTTTGTAAATTGGATACAAAATATTGTAACGTCAGAATACAAAATTCTGTAACAGATGTGATACGGTGTTGAGCACCACTGATACAAAATTTTGTATCCCGCATCAAACTTTTGTATTCCGCGTCAAGATTTTGTAACCAATGGGATGCAATATTCTGTATCATTCATGCGAAATTCTGTAACATAGTCATTCTCTCCTGTGACATGATGCAAATTTTTGGTTCAAATGTGATGCATTTTCCTCAAGCACAGATATAGACTTTCGTAATATTGTTGTATAATCTAAGACACCTTGTCATAAAGTTTTGAATCAGTCAACAGCCTTCTGCAGCAATTGAAATAGAATTCTGCTTCATATTTAAAAAAGAATGGTGCATTTGTGACACATATTTCAGTATTGCAGGGATTAGGAATAAAATACAGAAATAGGAGAATACATTCAGTTCAAGTCACTGTAATTCAGAAATAGGGAAATCACCGATGGTCTACTTCACACGGCCCTCATATGCTCAAATCTTCAGTAAACTGGGCACCTTAGCCTAAGTGTCTCCTTACCGCGAAGGTGACGCCGTGCACCCACACGTTCTTCACGTTGTCGAAGGCCAGCGCGTCGCCTGCCCAGACGACTTTCGGGTTTATGTCTGTGATGCTGATGTCACGAATGATGACGTTCTGAGCGTTCTTGATGCGAAGTCCTTTGCCCTTGATGACGCCTTTGCCGTTCTTGCCCAAGATGGACTTGTTAGAGCCCACGATGATCTCTGTGGTGCCGGCCTTCGCGTACTTGACCTGCAGGGATAAATAGAGGCAGAAGGGTGAACACACAGTGGGTTGCAAAATTTAACATCACTCAAACATTGTATATATCAATCCGTTTGAAGGTTGTGTTTCGTAACACGTGAGGATGTTCAACTAAAGGGGCCCTGGCCAAACGATCACACCCTACCTTTTGCAATATAAGGATGTTATCTGATCGTTTTAGAAAGAATCTGATATCAACCACGAGCGAGTTACCCCAAAGTTTGAACATTTGATACGAATAGCAACGGAAACGATAAGGTCCCTCGATAAGTAACTCTTTGCTCGGAAAGTCGGCGTAAGATTGGAACCATTTATCAGCAATACTAGAAAAAACGGCGCTTTAAAATAATGTAGTCGCCTGGGGGGAAGAACTTTCAAAAAAGTCTCATATGCGATAAACTTGAGTATTGCCGTAAAAGTCTTGCCTTAAAAACGGCGACACACAAAGGTTTCACCAAAATTTGGCGATACTTTGGAGTATTGCCACGATTTGGCAATAAACCTTGAAGAAATCAATGGGACAAAGTTCTTAGTTTAATGCCAGATTTTGGCGATGCCATTCTTTGGCGATACTTTTGTGTATCGCCGTTTAGAAGGCAAGATTTTTCGGTTCGCATTTCGACGCCTCCTAATATAAAATCCTACTGTCAGTGCTGATCCAAGAAAATCCCAACTGCCCCAAAGGGTTTCCCAGTGGGGCTAAAACTGCTCATTAGCTGTCTTCAGTCCAAAGCACACTTTTAAAAAAAATTCATAACTTTTTCATTACATGGTAGTGAAGCTATAATCATTACAATGTAATTGAAGTTTTCATTACACATATGTAATTAAAATTTTCATTACGGTGTAATGAACGAATGTAATGAAAATTTTAATGACGAAAACGTAATGAAAATGATCAAATTTGACGCAAATTGCGCAACTTTTCGTGTCGATTTGACATAGGTTGGAGTGAATCCACAGCATCTCTGACAGCAGAGGGAGGTAAAAATTGAGAGACCGAGGACTGTTCAGATCTGGGGCAGTCTGGTAGCCTGAGTGAGAGAGATCGGGTGCTGACCCTACCAAATGGCAGCCCGTAGACGCCTTCGAGCAACATCAGACAAACCTATTTGGTCACTTCAAATATCGCTCTGAGCAAAATCAACTAAGACGGACCACTTCTTCCGGTGACCCTCTCCGATTTGCCTGATTTTTTGTAGGCTTAATAACTCACTAAAGGAGAGTCTAAAGCCAAAATATTAGGTCCGGCAAAAATTTATTGCCCGAGATATGGCCAACTTTAGTTTAACTTTTGGAGAAAAAACACAAATTTTGGGGTTTATTTTGGACTAATTTTACACTTTTCATAGTAGAGGGTTAAAATTTGGTCAGTTTATGTAAAATTGGCCAAGGAACAAGAATATGGCCTCAGATTTGACCTCCGACGAATACCTGAAGAGTAAACCCCCCAAAACACCCTGAAAACACATAAAAAAACCGTTTTTTCTTGGGGTTTCTGGAAAGAATATTTGGACAAAAATTTCTGATGATCTTATCTTGTAGAAAATGACACGATGAATCGAATGAGACCACGCGCAGATTTTTATGTCAAACCGTTTAGGAGATATAGCGGTTCAAAGTATAAAAATTTTGCCATTTTTTTTTTTTAAATGCAGGTTTTGAGCATAGTTTGACGTTTTTTGCCTCCTTGGTGCGTGTTGGTGTTCTTATCTTGTGGAAAAAGACGCGCTGAATCGAATGAGACCACGCACAGAGTTGTATCTCAAACCGTTTAGGAGATATAGGGGTTTTAAAAGTATGGGCACTGTAGTCCGCCCGCCCAACAGGCGTGATTGGCGGCTCTCCCTTTGTCGGGTTTTGCAGGAGCTCTCCCGTGCCCATATTTTAAACCACTATATCTCCTAAACGGTTTGAGATACAACTCTGTGCGTGGTCTCATTCGATTCAGCGCGTCTTTTTCCACAAGATAAGAACACCAACACGCACCAAGGAGGCAAAAAACGTCAAACTATGCTCAAAACCTGCATTTTTAAAAAAATAAATGGCAAAACTTTCATACTTTGAACCGCTATATTTCCTAAACGGTTTGACATAAAAATCTGCGCGTGGTCTCATTCGATTTATCGTGTCATTTTCTACAAGATAAGATCATCAGAAATTTTTGTCAACATATTTTTCCCAGAAACCCCAAGAAAAAACGTTTTTTTTAATGTGTTTTTAGGGTGTTTTGGGGGGTTTACTCTTAAGGTATTCGTCGGAGGTCAAATCTGAGGCCATATTCTTGTTCCTTGGCCAATTTTACATAAACTGACCAAATTTTAACCCTCTACTATGAAAAGTGTAAAATTAGCCCAAAAATCCCCCAAATTCGTTTTTTTTTCTCCAAAAGTTAAACTAAAGTTGGCCATATCTCGGGCAATAAATTTTTGCCGGACCTAATATTTTGGATTTAGACTCTCCTTTAGTGAGTTATGAAGCCTACAAAAAATCAGGCAAATCGGAGAGGGTCACCGGAAGAAGTGGTCCGTCTTAGTTGATTTTGCTCTCTATTCCCCCAAACTCTTCGCCATTAGTTTAACAATCCATCACTTCACATGAACCACGGATACAATTCAGAATATCTTCTCACGTTTTAATATTTTAATACGAAATACAGAGTTGGGGTGATCCCCGGTACCATGCGACACCTAGCGGCAGACTTGCGAATGACAGGTTTGGCATATGACGCCGTAATGGACGACTGTAGGAGAAAAATTGATGTTGGCGGCCAATAGAAGGCTAAATTAGTTTGAGTAAGCTTTACTTAGATCCTCGACAAATCCAAAAACTTTCAGTCATGCTTAAATATGTTTGAAAAATTTAATGACATGTAAAGAAAATTTCATGACAAGGTGCATAATGTAATGAAACTTTCATTACATGCCTAAGGTCATTAAACTTTATGACCGAGGTAATGAAATTTTCATTACAATATAATGAATGTGGAGATGAAATTTAAAAAATAATGACTTTTAAATGAAAAATAATGTCACAAATGTCATTAAATTTCATTCATTTTTAACAGTGCACTGCAGTGAATCATGATATCACTGAAATACAGCTTCCACGATTATATGCAAGGTTTCTACTTTATAACAAGTCCAATGGCGAGAAATTTGAAGCAGCATGTTGGCGTCACAGAATTTTATAAGAAACAGCTTTTTACGTCTTACAATCTGCGCAGACAGTTAGGGTTGTCTTGGATCTGCACTGACAGTTAGAATCGTTCTATAAGGATGCGTCGATTTGCAGTGAGCGCGGAATCACTAATCCGATAGTTGTAGACTTGCCTTGGTTAGTGGCCTGCCATTGCGGGTACCGGCGTGGGCCAACGACTCCTGGTATCCACCGCCACACTTCAATATGACGCCCCCGGGAACTAGTCGCCCAGCCCTCGGAGTTGGTGAATCATAAGTTCTGTCCAGGACGATGATCAGTTTTTCCTTGCTTCCCAAGTAGTTCTTGAGCTCCTGGATGTTCTTGGGAGTTACGGTCCTGCCTGCAGCAAAAGATGGTCTGGTTGACCTCACAGACCACTAATCAAAGTGTCGACTAAGTACGGTGGGGACCGCTCCTTGACGCCAACCGAAAAACGCACCTTAATATTTATATAAATTAAAGTGTGGTTTTAATTATGGCCTTCCTCACGCTGCATAGACAGTTTGAAGATCAACTTACACAGAGATTTTTTATCTTCAAGATGTCAGAAAATGATTACCAAAATGAAAAGAACTCCCGGGGGGAAGTTGCATGCAGTAAAATTGGTATGTTTTGTTAGCTTCTGTTGCCCTGCACTACTTTAGACAGAAAAAATACGATTTCAAGAAATCCTCGGAGTCATGAAGTCAATTTGATTGTTGTGTAAGAGTGTGGAGAAAGAAAAGAAGTGGTGTTGTGAAGTTGTGGCTCAGGGGACTACCAATGGCAATGGTACCAATTCGGTCGATGTGCCACCCGTCAAAAATTTTAAAATTGACAAAAAATAGAAACCAAAATGCTGGTAAATTCAAAAAATTCCAAAGCTAATGTATTCCGCAGTGTTCTAACAATGGAACATCTTTAAAGTCCATCATTATTAAAATGTTCTTAGCAGAAAGAAGGCAGTAAATTAAATTTTTACGGGTTGGCAACTAGTTTCTCGGGGTCTGCGCCCCTTTCAAAAATCACGAAGCTGAAAACACCAGCGTCGCGCATGAAAACTGCCCCTCCATTGTTGCTGACGTTGAATTGTTTGGCTTGTTTCATAAAGGCTATGGTTCTCTAGTCATGTTTTCTTCAATTCTGTGTAATAGTTCTCACTCACAACGTATCAACACCAGGACGGTTGGTTTGACAAACTTTTATAAACTCGGGAGGAATGGTTTTTGGAACGCGGGTGAGTCTTGTTCGAAGAACATGAGCCCTGAAAGTCGCGAGGTGGAGTTAAGTTGTCATGGTGTTAACTGAATTCAACAAAAACAAAATTGTTTTATTTACTGAAATAACAGGAAAATAGCGATATACATCGGCAACTTTTTGGGCCCCCCTCCCCCCGGGCATTAAGAAACGTACGAAATTCGCCTATATTTGACCCTGACGGGATTTAAACCTGAGTCTGGGGTTAAAATTAAAGTCGTTTCGTCATCCCCCGGCAACCCTTTAAAAAAGTCAGAAACAATGCAAAAACCCCGAATAAAAAGAATGTTCAAAAAATATCCCCCCGGGACTTGAACCCGGGGGCGAACTTCTCCGATTCGCTCGAAACTGGCACCATTTTATTTTTCTCGTCGCCCCGATTCCAAAAATACCCCTACATGCCCTTTTTTCCAAAAATAAACGGGACGGGCCAAAAAAGTAATATTTGCGAAAAATTATGTCTCAAAAAAAAAAAGAACTTTTTTTATGCTAATTTTTTTTTACATATTTTTTAAGAAAGTTATAAGGTATCAATTGAAAATTTGTTTTATATGAATTTTGATAAACAGCAAACAAAAAAAAAGAAAGAGAGCAAAATGAATACAGATTTCAAATGCTACAGTTTGTTAAAGCCACATTTCAACATCAGAATCAGCGTTCAAAGTTCTACTAGTCTGCAAAATCTCATTAAAATCCTATAGAAAATTTCCAAAATGCATAAAGGACCACGGGAATTGAATATCCCGCCCGCTGAACCCCGGGTATACTATAAGGCTACTTCGTGCCTAAAAAACTACGGTTCTAAACAAGGTAGGTGTACGCCAGACCGTGTCTTGTCGTAACAGGCTTCGCGGTGCTGCGCCAGTTTCGACCATTCATGCCTGGCCTATACACCTACCTTGGCCTGCGGCGCTTGCCTGCCTTCGGCGGACTGCTTTCCTAGACTAACCGTAGATATGGGCGTGGCCCCCCCCCCCAATTTGGTGATCAAAATCTTCACTACACTGAGAATCCAAACGCTATGAGTATAGCGTCAATTGGTGCAATAAAGCATTGCACATGAAGTGCAATGCCTCCCCATTGCCATGCATTAGCATACTAGGGCATTTTAGGGACGTATTGCACGTAAGGTGCAATATGGCTACGGCATTGCACGTATGGTGCGATATCTCAGCTGCACTCTACAAAAAATGTCCTGTCAACGCCGTTAATTTATTACCAATGTTTGCTGTCATTCAATTCACGGCCTTTGCTGTGAACTAGTTCACGGCGTTCACTGTGATCTCGGTTACAGTGTTCACTGTGATCTGGCCACAGTAAAAGCCGTGAATTGGAGCCTGATTTGGGAGTTCTTCGGTGCTCAGCGGCGTCAAACTCACAGTGTTTACTGGGGACCAGATCACAGTGAACACCGCGAACAAGATCACAGTGAATCCCGTGAGCAGATCACAGTAAACACTGTGAATTGGCCTACAGTGAAAACTGGTAATAAATTAACGGCATTTACAGGACATTTTTGGTAGAGTGTGCTTAGCACCATACGTGATATACTCATAGCGTTTGGAATCTCAGTGTAATGGGACTTAAGGGGGCAATACACGGGAAAAAGGCCAAAAAGTGACTTGTGTGATTGCGTCCACACGCGTTCTGGAACGTTGTTCAAACTTTTTGTGTGTCAAGACCTTACAAAAAAAAGCATTTTTAGCCTAGAATGGCGTCGATCGGACGTCAGGGGGCGGAGCAGCGCTCAATCAAATTTTTGTCAAAAGTCGAACGGCGGGCGTCCCTCAGTCCGCAAAAATGAAGATACTCGACCACGTTTGCGCCAAAATGTAGGGAACTGAAGCGGCTATAGCGTGAACTAGGATTATGAACATCGAACAATCAAAAGTACAAAATTTTACGAAAAAAACCCGTTTTTTATCATTTTTGCACAATCCTCAAAAAATGTTTATGGATGAAATTTTGTACTTTGGGTTGCTTGTGCCCGCACCTTACCTAACCTAACCTTCTTTCAGGTCCTGACACAAGGTTTGGAAAACCCCAGAAATACATAAATATTGCCCCCCGAAGAGTGCACTCTAACTCACCCCCTTGACCTCCTTTGTCCTGTAGCCGAACCCAACAGGCTTCTTGATGCAATTTTTGTTCCATCCACCCGCGAGCACGGTGACGGGGGAGGAGACAGACAATCAGCAGGGAAAAGGGGTCATGGTGACTGCTCCCCATTCCGGCGTACGAAAGTCTGTACCCACTGCACCGAAGGCTGCTGCTTTTTTTTCCCAGCCACGGGCTGAGTTCTAGGTTATCACGTCTTTCCAGCCCACTGCATTAAAAACAACCACGGCTTTTCTACGAAATTCACGGAATGACGCAAGAGCTGCTAACTCACGCTTTGCTGCCATTCACGGCGGTTGCCACCTTGATAACCACCCACGCGTCCTTGCTGCTATATGCAATAAAGACAAGGCGTAGGAAAAAATAATAAAATGCTCAATTGTAACCAAATTGTGTAATTTGTGCCAGTCAAACCCTACCGTGAAACGGGGTAATTTCGGACACTCGGTGTAATTTCGGACAACTCTGCCCGGAAGCATGGCGATGATGCTCCCATCTAACGGCCAACTTGGAGGCTTGTCCCGTTGCGCGCATCGCATCGGCCACACTTAAAACCATCTGATCAATCACCCGGAGGCCAATCAGGGGCAAACTCCAGGAGAAATAGTGGTTTTTGTATTTAACCATTTTTACCTGAATTCGCTTTATGCGTAAAAACTTTGACTGGCAAGCCGAAACTGTTCATGGCCGGTTCATGAGGGGATTGTTTGTCGATTCAATCATGTTAAGAGCATACTGTGTCAAATTTTCAATCACCTGGGTCAAATAGTATGGTTTATATGGGCTTAAAACTAAAAAAATGCTACTTTACGGGGTAATTTCGGACAAAAACCCCAAAAACCCCCCCGGGTTTTCAAACCCGGGCCCAAAAAAAGGGGGAAAGAAAAAGGGGCCCTTTTTGGTTTTTATTTTTCCCTTTTGGGAAAACAAACCGGGGGTCCAAAATTTGCATCTCACTTTGAGGGGGGAAAAAAGCTAAAAAAAAAGTGTCTTTTTGAAAAATTGAAGATGTATCCCAAAAAAACAACGATGTATCCCAAAAAAAGGTGTACACGATTATCTCCGTAAAAGGGTGAATTTCATGAAAACAAGGGCCAATGCTACCATCTTTTATACTTTCGTTTTTTTTTATACTGCGTGTACTACCTTTGGTGTCAACGACTGTTTTGGTGTTTAATTTTTTATGCAAAAAATTGAGAGTTGGACCGAATTTCAGGTATGCACTCGCGTAATAGTCGGTTCACTCTATCTGTAATAGCACGCGTAATAATACGCGTAATAGTCGCGTAATAGCCAAAATTGTCAAAATTTTATCAATTTTGGTGTGTTTTAGGCCGTTTTTATCTAAATTCCGATTAATTTGTGGCGTAATAGAGCGTAATAGCGTAATAGTCGGTACACAGGTTCAGAGAGCGCATACCCCCTCGAGTTGGACTTGGCGAATGGCTGCATAGCTCGCCGGTTTACTATGCAACGCTTTCCACTGAGCCCCTGTATCACTCCAAATTGAAAGGCGGTACAAATGTATCAAAAAAGGCGGTATTGAATTTACCGCCTTATACATGCCTTCATTACTGCCAATCAAAGGCGGTACTTTCATTTACCGCCACAACTATTCCATCAGTGCTGAGTCCATAATTGAGGGTTATTAAAACATTGCATCAGTACCGCCAGTCAGAGGGAGTACCTAAATTACCGCCAAACACAAGCCATCAATACCGCTCATCAAAAGGCGGTTGTTTGATTTACCGCCTGCACTGTACCATTGTGGTCAGATATAAATGTCTCGCTGAATCCAAAATTGTTAATATATCCTAGGTGATGTGTGGATTCATGGCAGATTGGATAAGTTACTAGATTA